TTAATGATTAATACTATGTAAAACCTAGTGGTCTATATGTTTAAATAAAGAGCTCAAAGGTTTAATAGCATCCCCAGAATGGTTAATCAATAAACTTTGTTCACAGATGTATAAAGTGATTATTAATATGATGTTAAGATTAACAAAACTCATGTTTTAATTGCAGCTGTGGCATTTGACTCACATTTCAGGATATATTATGAACAATTTAGAATTATGCCTTCATATAATAAATGCTGGCCCACCCTTTATTCCCCAAATACTGGGTATTAAACCCAGGGCCTCAATTTATACTAGGTAAGCACTATATCACTGAGCTGTTTACCCAGCCAGCCCTTTTTATTTTGAGACAGGATCTTGCTAAATCACCCAGGGTGGCACCAAACTTGTGATCCTCCTGCCTCAACCTCTGGAGTAACTTGGATTATAGAATAAATGTTCTTTATTGCAGAATCTTTTCATGTATTTTCATTCTTTTTTTTTTTTTGGCCAAGTGAGGTTATTCTTTTACCATCAACAATGTGGATGTAAGTAAATCACTAGAATGCTGTTTGCACAGCTGCCATGATTTAGTATAGGGATGTGGTTTCAATTTTAATGAACCAAACATCTGCTCCTAGAAAAGCCCCAGGCTGTTGCTTTTGAGTGATGAATGTTTTCATTTTCCAGTTGGTATTGCAGTCTGTTAACTTAAATTCTACTATAATTGTGGTTATTTTACCTTTTAATAGGAGCATGTGAAATGGGTTCATGCTGAAATGGTAAATAAAAACTCCAAGTTAAAGCTAATTTATGTGACTCCGGAGAAAATTGCAAAAAGCAAAATGTTTATGTCAAGACTAGAGAAAGCCTATGAAGCAAGGAGATTTACTCGAATCGCTGTGGATGAAGTTCACTGCTGTAGTCAGTGGGGACATGATTTCAGACCTGGTATGTAGGTTTTACCTTGAAACCCCTTGGTATTATGGACCATATTCTAACTTAGCTTGACATGGTGAAAATCTCTTCTTCCATTAACATTATCCTATCGGGTAGTTATTACCCATTTGTCCTTGCGTTAATGGGAGGAGGCCAAGAGGCACAGTCTTTAATCTCCTTATTTCTCACTGCAATATTTAGTCCAATTATGTTTGAAACATGTTTTTATTAGTCAATATTATATATCTCTGTGGAATTTATGATCTCCTAGTACTCCCTCGCATTTGATGAGGAATTTAAATCCACTTCAAAGTTGTCTTCTTTTGTTATCATTTGGGTGTCTTTAACATCCTACCTAACTTTTCACTGCCAAAGTCTGATGAGATATTTTAGTAACTCTTATCTTCACTCCACCAATCAAATCTATAAATTATAGCCTAAAGTAAGTTACTCAGAATTGTTCTATGCAAAAAAAATCTTATATTCAAAAATCTTACTCCCTGACTTCAATTTCATTTCTCTCTGAGGCTTTTCACACTCAGAGGGACCTCCCAGGTTTCTTTTAATTCCTGCTTATTTGTTCATGGCTTCCATCCATCCCTGCATTGATCACACTTTCCCCCACTCAGATTCCTGTCGCCACTTGCCTTTTTGTATTTTTCCTGAATTGCTTGGCCATTTTACCAGCCTACTCAGGCCCATGCCAGATGGAGATGGCTGGCTCCTTGTAGACTCTGCTTTCCCTATTCCTGCTGTTTGATGCTAAACATTGTCAGAAGAAAAAAAAAATTAAATAGCTGCATTAATTTCCACTCCAGTTCAGCCTTTTATCATGCTTAGCTATCCTTTTACTTGTTCCTATTTCAGCTCCTTTATACATTGCATCCAGCAAGTTTTTCCTATCACTAACTTTCCCTCTAGGCCTGACCCATACCCAGTAGATGCCTCCTACTCTCCTACTTCCCAGAAAATAGGTGCC